ATTATATGTTTATTTGTTCTTAACTTTATAACAGGACAACGTTAATGCCGAACCTGACAACATTTCTCATGATTAGTTGTAAACACAAGGCTAATACCTAGTAATAACGCACTGGGGTGCCAAAAGTTGCGCTTCTTGACTTCTAAAACATCACAAACCCTTTCCCCTTAGAATCCTACGTGCGACATGTCGACACCTCAGTTGCGGTCAGATTTCCACACCTGAAAGCCTTATAAATATTATAAAATTAAACGGGTGTGGAAATCTGACCGTGCTGTACCTGCCACGCAAAATGGACGTGTTAATCCGATCCGCTGTAGACCGCAAGTGTCATGTTGGAACAGAGTAAGAAGCGTAAACTTTAGGGTTCTTGAAGTATTCTCCAAGCTCGGGGCGGTGGTTCGGTAATCGGATTCGAGACCAATTCTTCCAGGTCTGGAGGAGGTGATTTGGCCAGCGCTTCAAAGCCTCCACTTGGGTGCACGCTTCAACCAGAGCTTGGAGCGAGTCGCCGGGCTCGGTGTGGGCGGTTGGGTGGAGGATGGATTTGCACAAATCGGCGGTGGAGGATGGAGGATGGAGGATGGATATACGTAGTACAGTTATGTTTTTCTTGGTTTGTGCGACCCTAAGTCTCGAATTCCCTCAATTTGTTGGTCATACTCAGACTTGCCTTGAGCAGGAACCTGTGAAAAGGTCTTCCACTTTCAATGTCACGTTGTCGTTGTTTGCTTCAAGCCGGATCCCACAGGTGATGTGTTTCTTCTTTCTTTTTTGTGGAAGGCTGGTGTCACTCCCACACTCCCTCATAAAATATCATATAATATCAATATCATATAATATCATACCAGGACCCTCCTGTCGGGGTGTCCAATGAACTACCCCACATATAGGCTTCCAGACAGGGCAATGGAAGCATGGAGGGTCCTGGTATAATCATGGTGATGGGTGCCATGGATGTCCCTCTACCGAGTTTGTCTTCCATTGGCACGCCGGTCGTGGACCGTCTTCCACGCCGTGCCGCTCCTCTCTGCCATGAAGACGTGACGCCGTGAGGTTTAGACGACGTAGACCGGGAGGAGGACACTGATCGAAACAGAAATGCAACCTATACTCACTTAGTGTAAACTTAAGATGACCAGCAAAGATGGTTTGTATAGATGGTTTTTAGATGGTTTGAGTTCTAGTGCATCGTGTTTTCCCCTTTCAGTAATCGCAATGAGCGGTGGAACACCACCAATAGGGCTTTCTCCGGGAACCTGAAGCCGTGATGCCGTGCGAGCTCCGCCACCCTTATTCCCTACCTTTCGTCGCACCAGTCAGTGTTCCGTTCACTAGCAAATGAGCGACCAACAACGCGATGCACTTGCTCCTCTACTGGTAGTAGCGATGCCTGGTGACCCGAGTAGCTTCTTCTTCGCCTTGTTTTGTGTCCCTTCGCCTCCCAGGTCTCCCTTCCCAAGAGCCTCCAGCGCTTGAGCTTCGGCGACCTCTTTGATCAGCCGATCCGCTCGGTGGCATGGCCGGAGGCGCTGCAAATGCTCAGCTTCGGAGAGGAGTTCAACCAGCCACTACAGGTGAGTGCGGTGTGGTGCGACCTGGGTTTTGGGCCATTTTCGACCTGTGACCCGTGAACCCGGATGGAATGTGGTGATTCTGTCCATTTCAGGAATATTTTTGGGAGGGCCATGACTCTTATCACCTATAATATCCTATGTTTGTTGACTTGCTTTTTGGTAGCTTCACTGTTAGCCACAACTTTGCGGTTTGCGGGGGTTGCTTTGGGGGACCACATGGTTGCTTCACGGTTCAATTTGGGAGCTGGTTTAGCATTCGGCGAATGCTGCTTGTATTGGGGTTGTGTGGACCCAGCGACCTCAAGCGAACTGCCGGTTACGTGGATGGCCTTGCGGGTTTCGGACGATGAAATTACCGGTTACGTGGTGGCCACTCCAGGAATCGGGTTGGCTTCATTTCAGGAATCAGGAAGTGTACGTCGGGGTGTCCAATGAACTACCCTACACTACCTATAGGCTTCCAGACAGGGCACCCCGACAGGAGGGTCCTGATATAGGAGGATTCACATCTCAACCTCGCAGTCCTATCCACATCTCTCCGCTGACCCTGACGGGGCTGGTTGTTCCGATGTGCTGGCGCCCATCCGTCAGCACCCCGTTCGGCACCGGCACCCCGAGACCAAAGCGGCCTCGCAGGCGGTGTGGCCTGCTGGGCTTCGCGGGCTTTCCTTTGGGGACTTGTTCAACCAAAGCTTGGAGGAGGTGAACAGTCACATACAGTCACTGTCACTGGATGCATCTCCCAAAGATAGAATATTTACTGAACGGGATGCATCTCCGCGTTGCAAGCAAAACAACGTGTTGTGACAGTGGACGACTTGACTTCCTTCTGCTAGTCCTTGACATGATTGACATATCATTTGGATATAATTGACTTCAAAAATATGTCCTTTTGCTAGCTTCTGATATATTGACTCATGAGTCACTTCTTCCGAAGGTGCCGAAGGCTGACGGGGTGGAGTGCTTTTCTTTTTTTACCTGTCCTTCGCCGCGCTGGAGCCGCTGGAGGTGGACTGGCCCCCAGCTTTGCGGAGCTTGAGCTTTGGCGCGCGTTTCAACCAGAGCTTGGTGAACATGCCCAACGGCCTGGAGAGCCTCTCGGAGGACTGGAGAGAGGCAGTCTTTTTTGGGAGAGATGTCCTGCAGCTGAGTCACCAAACTTTACCGGAAAGGATGAATTTACATGTACATGGTATTCCAGTGGAAAACCACTTTGCTTCCATGATTGTTTGATGGAGAGTGGTGTAGGTCTTTGCGAAGGTGTTTCTTCTTTTGGCAGGGGTAGCAAGTAGCACGGACTGAACGTCATCCACTGCTGCACACAGAGTTTTGGTGATTACTCTTTCATACTCTTTCTATTTATATAAGTCCTTTAGCCCGCATCTTTGCAAACGGTGCTGTTCACCCAGGCCTCACATTGGGTGAAGATTTCACTCAGGGCTTGGAGGGCTTGAAGGTTTGCAAGTTAATGACTTTGAAGTGCCACGGCCTTCGCGTGAGCCAAGACTCTCCACCGCAGGCGGCATGATGGTCGGCCCACTGATCTGCTGGTCGACGGACTCCCTGCAGACCGGTCATAGGGGGAGACCGGTCATGGTGCTCCGCTGTGCCAAATTCAAACCGTTGGTCTTCAGATGGTCCTGTGAACTGCGGAACCTACAGCAGCCTGGAGGGTCTGTGTGCAGATGTGTGCAGCTTTGCCATGAAACATGTTGCCCCCAGCTGCAGCCCCCAGTCGTCGCCCTTCGTGGAAGCATCACCGCCGGAACGTGGTGTGGACTTTGCTGCCGTTGGTTATGCTGACCCGGCATATGCTGTGCCAAGACTGAAGCAAACATCGTAACATCGCAGCAAAAGATCTTCAGCATCGCCGAGAAGTGGTTGGAAAAGCTGGTGCCGTGCTGCTCTTGTTTCTTTTTTGGGGGTGAGGGGTGAGGGGCAGTTCTTTGGGGCGTATCAGCAGGGGCTTCCCCGGATTTGGGTGGCCACCGGCACCGAATCTCTTTGTTCGGTCCATGGGGACGTGGAAGGTCTCCGGCGGCTCGAACGCACAGCAGCTGACCAGCCGCCGCGCTGGAGAATCTGGATTTCTACTTGTATCTCTGACGCTTTGGGGTTTTGCCACCCACCCCACGGCTGAGCAGTGGGGGTGCGGCCGCCGAATTTCTACCTTTTTGAAGAGCTGGCAAGCCTTTCATCCCAGACTGGGGCTGGAAAGCTGGCTGGCCGCCAGGCCTTCCAATCCGGACAGCCGTTTGTAAGAAACCCTCTCCAGGTGGCTGCACTCTTCGCGGTGTTCTCCCAGCTGGTGGTAGCGACCCGGATGAGTTGGGAGGAAACCAGCAAGTGAGGAGATATAGTCATCAGCCTCGGATCTTGATTATTTGACCATGTTTGACCCAAGTTTGGAGGCATTTGCATGGAGTTTGTTGATTCAATTGATCCAGAGGAAGTCCAGCCTTTGAGGCCCGAAAGGAGTTGGTGAAAGGAAGGGTGGAACCTCGTGTTTTGCGAACGTCGGTGCCAGTCACATGCCGTTAACGTGTAGTCCAGCGTAACAATGTGTTAGTCCAAGCTTTTGGGGGACTGCCACCAAAAAAAAAAAGGAAAACCATGGGATGTTTGGCCAATTGATGTTTGCACTGAGAGCAGAAAGGGCCAATAGCTATTTGTCCAAATGTGTATACTGAAGTTTTGCACTCGGGCAAAGCTTATGGATGTCAGGGCAGCACAGGGGATTCCCTATCCTGGCCCCAACAGAAATGGAAAATTCCACTTTAAGCACAGATGGCCCAGATTTCTCAGCTAGAGCGCAAACAAGAAATACATTTGTGTTTGTTGGAAAGTTGGAGCTTGGAACTTTCAGCGCTTTCAGCCTCCCCTTCTGTTAGAGGTGCATGTTCACTCCTTTTCATGTTGACCTGATCCGTGTTTTTCCGTCCTGATCAGGTCAGACCACCCCCTTAGAAAAACCCCTGTTAGGCATGAAGAAAAGACACCAGTTTTCTGGTGCTTCGACTAATACCTTCGTGATCCGCAGTAGCTGAGAAAGCAAAACTGAGGCTGTAGCTCACGTGACTCAGATGCAAGTTCAGAAGGTGAGACAACCGACGCCCTGGTACTCGGAACGTGGAGTTCACCCCCCTGGAAGTGGTATTTGGATGGCATGCTCTTCCAAGTGCCCATGCCATCCACGTTGGCCCATGTTAGTTGCGGGGAGTGTATGTTCTATAGTTTGAATGTTTAAGCAACATTTCTATAGCTTGTTTCTATAGTTTCTATATATATATAGTTGTGAATATGTCTATAATATTCAATGCACTAAAAAATATTCCAGGGTACCATGTCACCTCCTGGAATATGTTTGTTGGAAAAAAACAATTAGAATATTATAGCTTTTCAGTGGGTGGGGTCTCATTCTGACCGACCATGGAAATCACGGAAAATGTTTGACATTTATGTGTCATGACTTTTTGTTGTGGATGTCAAGGACCCCCAGAATAAGTATCAAGATAGGGGGGTGTTGGATTGAATTGGCAGCTTGATTTCCAGCTTGATTTAAATGTTGCCAAATTTTTCCATGGGTAGGTTACCTTTGGACGACTGTTTAATTATTAGCGCAGAAATGCCTTAAAAGGCATGTCGATAAAACTTTTCCAAGTGTCAAATGAACATGGAAAAGATCAACAATTTAGGTGGTGGGTATCCAGAATATTACTTTGAAATATTCTGAGGGGGTGTCAACATGGGGCCCCATCTAAGGCATGGTGTATTTTCTATATATATATATAGTTTGTATATGTTTACGCATTCCAGGAGAAACACGGTCTACGCGAGACATTCAAACGAGTAGGACATTCAACAAAGCAATACAAAGGAAACACGTAAGTTTGATATCGCCAGACCCGCCAACTTGCGTCAAATGAGCTTTCGCAAACCATACCAGCATCAATACATTGGGACATTGTAGCACTGCAGGCAAAATAGAAGCAATGGAGTTGTTGGACGGCCTGTTTTCTGACGAAAAAGAAGCAATTTGTTGGCAATGATTTGGCCTTCAATGATTGCCGTGACTGGAGAACTCCACCTTATGGCTTGGAGGCCTAGTCTTTATAATTATATACAACATACATTACTTATATACAGTACTCTGCTGAAAACTAACGTGGATATTGAAAACCAGGGGGGTTGTAGATGAGAAGAGTCTCTAAGGATGCCATTCTCAGGGTCCATGTTAGTTTTCGGGAGGGTATTTACTACTTCAATTAAGATTAATCTGATACAGGTGAGCCACAGAACTGTATCAGAACCTTTCAATCCACAACTGAGTATACGGAGTTGTTTCTGTTTTGTTCGCCATGGCTGGTGGCCACGGTGACGCAAGGTCCATGAACAGCGAGTGATGCATCGCGACTTGAAGCCCTCCAACGTGATGCTCACCAGGCATAACGAAAGCCAACGGCTGTGTGGGCAGGAGCAAGAACGTGAGGAGACTAGTAGCACTGTAGGTATAGATGAGCAATTAGTTCAGACATGTTCAGACCATAATAGACCATAATGTTTAGACCATGCTGGACCATGCAATCAGTTCAGTGCTTAACCTTTTTGCGTTATTTTTTCTGCACGTTTGATATCGCGCACGCATGCGCACGCCGTGTCCTTTTTCCAGCTCTTCGCTGGCACCTGGGACGTCCCAGCGTCTTCAGACGGCATCCCGAGGTGTTTTCCTATCCCTACTCTATAGTTGTTTTTTCTAGTTCTCCTACTTGGGTTACTTATATTCCTTTAAAAACATGTAAAACATATAACAAAACCCTAGGCCCTAGTTCTCCAAGTGCCTTCGAAGGTGGGACTGGGCTGGGTGGTTGAAGAAGGGAGGGTCCAGGCATATCGAACCTGAGGAGGTACGCCCCCAGGAGCCCTGGGGTACTTGCAGGACGATCTCCATGGAAATGCACTGATTGATGGTGACACTCTATCAGAGAAAAGAGTGTATAGGAACTTTCTAGGTGTAGCGTGCTGTGGTCTTATAGAGGGCAACATTGCTGCCGCAATGTTTTGTCCATTCATGTCGGATAACTCTAAGACCATGTCACTGAGCCACACATGAGTTCTACAACATGAGTGTTACACCACCGGTCTCCACCGGTCGCTTACCGTGCACCTCCGGTCGCCGGCGCACACGCTCGCGGAACCGCACGAAGTCTCGCCGTCCTCGGATCGCCAGTGATGGGCTCCTGAAGTTGGGAGACTTCGGTGTCGCCAAGGCGAACACGGCCGAGACGGACCCGCGGGACCCGGGGTTCCGGAGACGGACCCGTCGGGCGGAGGAACCCAACAGAACATGAAATGAACAAGACACCTGAGAACTGATGGGCAACATGTATCATATATATATAAATATAGGTTTGTCCCATGGACTGATGTTTTTTGGTGGTTGAGGACTGGGGGGTGAGAGTGTGGCGTTGAATGATTATCATGTGACATGAAAGAATATGAAAGAGTCTCCAAGAAGCCATCGACTCGATTCGACCACCTCATATGAGAAGGAAGCACCAGCAGGCACATGCGGAGGGGCCATACGCATTTCAAGGTTCAACACGCGCGTATTGCCCGCGCGTGCACACAAATCCGCAAGCGAAAACATCGATCTACACGATCTGAACGTCGTTGACGCAAAGAAGGCCACTTGCACGTCGGCCGCACCACGTCGGCCGCACCACGCAGTGTCCCACTGACGCCACACGCAGCCTCTGCGTGCCTTTCCATCAGGTTTTGGCCGGCACCACCGTGATGGACAACATGACGTGTGTGGGCTCGCCCACCTACATGGCCCGGGCTCATGGACCGACCCGCGACCAGACCGCAGTTCCGTGAGTCACATCGTTGCTCGTGGTGCCGGTGGATCTGTTCGGGGTGGCACACCCCGTCTGTTCGACGATGAGAAGACTCACTACCTTTCGGCCCCGTAAAGAAACGTTCGAAAGGGACGAATCAAACCCAACTCCATGCGACTGCTGCAGGTGGACTTCTCTAGGACTTCTTCGGGCGTCTTTTCGTTCTTGTTCCGTTCGCAGTATACGAATGCTCCCGTTCGTTGGCCTAGGCCAGGGTCGCCCCGATCGTAGCGTCCTGGTTCGTTCTGAAGAGGTCTTGTTTGTCGATTCCAAGAAACGCCTGGGTGACGTCCTTGGCCGCTGGAGTCCTTGAAGCCTCTTGGGCCGTGGGGGAAGGACCGACGAGACGAAAGCGGTATCCAACTCGGAGACTTTGCTCGTGAGGTATTGGGTTGCAACACTTTGGGCTTGGGCTTGGCAGCCGTTGCCGGGTTTTTGGCCTCCCTTCCTGGGAAACAACATGAAAGAAACAGGGTCATGTTTTGCGCAAGTTGATCCTTCTATACTCTTTGTTTTTGAGCTCGAATAAAACCATTGATTTGTTGCTTGCTCTTATTAAAGGGTTGGAATTCTAAGTTGATGCAGTGCATCTTCTCAGAGCTCTTGATTTTCGGCACCGTGCCACGGACGACTCCGTGCCACGCGGTGCCACGCGGTTCGGCGTGACGAGCTATGCTCGATGTGCCGGTACTGCGAAGCCGAGCGTTTTCCTGTGAGGGACCGTGAGGGAGGTACTGCGAACCTTTCAGTAAGTGCTCTGAGGATGGCATTCCCTGACACAGTGGGGGTGGCAGTGTGGTGTTCTCCTTTCCTGAAGGCAGAAGACGCAAACTTCTACTTGTAGACCAGGCCTTATTGTTTGCAGCCCCATGAAGAAAACAAACTCCGTGGCCTATGTAGGTTGAGTTTGTGGCGCCACCAGCCATGATTGTCTTTGCTTGTTTTGTGAGCATGCTGTTGATAAAGTGCGGTGAATGTGCCCGCAGTGTGCTGGCCTCGAGTGCCAGGAGTGCCTGGATGTTTCTCGTGTGCCTGTGTCTCAGTTTGTAGTGGTATTGATTTTGCCCCGCCCGCCCGCCCTTGGACAGAATGGGTAGGGGGTTGACTTTCGGTTGCCCCAGCACTGAAAGACAGTCTGTGCAAAGCACCAGGGCTTGTCTAGAATTCTGCTGTGCCTATGGTTCAGCCCCAACAGTAACAGTCTCGCGACTGAAAAAAAGAAGGGATGGTGCGCAGCGTGTTGCTTTTTTGCAGACTTTCAGGTTTCCATGCCCTCGCTTGTTGGCGTCTTCGTGGGTTGTAACAATAAAGACACCTTGAGCAAAGCACGAGCAAAGCTTTTTCATTTTTTCGGGAGGTCTTTTTGCACTTCCACATGGCAGCACTGCACACCGTGCATTGGACACCTGCATCAGGTTCACGCCGTCTACTCAGCCGTCCATCACTTCAGCCCACCTGCTCCATTCGTCTCGGATTCCAGGGATAGAACCTTCCCTATGGATCCACACACCTTCTGAGAAGGTGATTGGAGACGATTTATGTAGGCTTTGAGAGCCCACATACCTTCTGAGAAGGTATGTGGATCCGTAAAGATTTGGTGTTGTTCAGGTCTCCAGCACCAGTTGACACCACTGCTGTTGAGGAAAGGGTCACTATTATTGCTGCCGCAGATTAGGAAGGGGGACGGTTTGGAACAGTCCATACTTCAGGAGCACCCACCAGGTTGCAGAGGTTGGATACAGCAAACCCAACTGTTTGGATACGGCAACTGTTTCTATACCCCATGTGCTATATGCGCTTGGATGTGCAACAATTGATATAATTGATGCCGGAATCGTCGATGGTGTGGGATCCTTGTTCAGCCCAAAACTGGTAGGGCCTTTCAACTGATTCAATCAAATTAAGTGAAGCTTTCCGGTAATTGATTTGCATTTCATGTGGACACCAGGAATGACTATATAACCTATCCTTGACATTTCGATGGCCACTATATATACTTTGGCTCCTCGAAAGTCCAAGTTCCGAAACCGCAATCCCACGCGCCCCCGAGGCCCCAGAGATTGTCTCTGGTGACGCATATGGCCCCTCCTGCGATGTGAGGAGTCACAGACTGTGGGCACGGTAGGTGTGGGGGTTTGGGTGGTGGCCGGTTATGATTGGAAGAATCTTGGAACAATTCCCAGACACGACCCATGGGACTGCCATAGGACTGCCGCCCCATTGACCCCCAAAACCACCCCAACTGATCAGCATATATGACAGTTTCATGGAGTGTCTGGGATGGGTTCATGTTCGGATCTATCTCGCAAGATCAGGAAATCATCGGGTGTTGCTGCTGAGTGCGGAGTTGCTGCGCACCAAAGCATGAGCATGCATCGGTCGACCGGCCGTATCGGGAGTGCAGCATGAAAAACCAAGCCGTGACCGTCGGAGATCTTGGGATCCACTCGGCTTGGTGAAAACTCGGATCCCCAAACCAAAATGCTCGGATCCAAGCGATCATCTGCGGCATCGGTTCCAAGTTCGGAATGCGTTGGGACGAGAACTCGGAGTCTGAGTGGAGTCTATGTGACAGGAGATTGGTGTCCAGGGGCACCGAGGTCGCAACGACCCCCACCCTTCGAGGTTTGGAGTTTGGGTGTGATCCTCTACGAGCCGCTCAGCTTGCCGGGGCGGGGCGGGGGTTTGGCGGGGGGCGCCGTGGTTCCGTTTGGCGAGCGCTGGACGCGTGCTCGGCGTTATGGTCGGGGGTGAGGAATGGTGAGGAAGAACATCAAATACCAGGACACCCTGAGGGGTGTCTATTGATAGCCCCTTAGAGGTTAAGGGTTGTCCATTAACCACCCTTAACTTAAGGGTCCTAGTATGTGCCACAGTTTTGAGTCTTTTGAAGATCGGAGCCGAGGTGAGCAGAGTGAGCCAAGGTGGACATGTTGCAGGTCAAATGCCAGGCTCCAGGCTGTGTTGATGACCCAATTCAATGTTGTTGTTTTTTTAATAGCATGATTTTAGCTCATGACCCCCACTAGGCCAATATGATTCATGATTATTTACAATCCTCCACTGCAGAAGTCAATGTTGACGGCCAAAATTGTTTTGACTGCCAGGTCTTTGGACAGCGCCAAGTGTTCACTGATGTGTTCGCCAAAGTAGACGTCCGCTGAACATTCTCGAAAGTTGCCACTTCAACTTCAGTCTATTCAACATGACAAGCTGTGCTTCAAGCCGTGCAGTGTGTGCTTGATGTACTCACATTTGTATCAGGGTACCGATCAGGCCAGGGGTGGTTGACTGGGGGTCTGGCTTGATCGGCAGTCCGGACTGGCAGTGGTCCGTGGTGGTTGACAGGGCGTTCCCGGGTGCGGGGGTGGGTTCTTGTTGCCATTAAGAGCATTCCCCAGAACACAGGTCCTGTTCCTCTTGATTTCTGGTGCGTTTGTGTGGGGTCTAAGACCGAGGATGTCCAGCTTCCGGCGGCCCTTTGAGGGACGGAGTGGGGCTGTCCCCAGCAACGAGAGCGAGCAGATTTCGTTGGCGGGACGAATCGAAGCAGGTGGGGCGCGATTGGTTGTCCCATAGAAGAGGTCTTACAATTCAATTGAGGACTTGATCAATCAAGATTCTACGTTATACACGACGTTTATTGAAAGTTGCGGCCAGCTGACCATGCAAACCGTTTTCGGTTGGAGGAGGGGCGACGTTTGCAGAGTGTGAATGGATGAGAGAAAGCTTTGGGAGACGTGGGGCGAAACCAAGGTACGCCACAATCCCCCGCAAAGTTTGCTTGAGGATTCTTTTTTTTGACCTGTTCAATCGATCAGCAAGGAGAGCTAATCTTGGAAACCCGGTTGAAACGACATAGTTTGATCGGATATGGATGTCTATGGAATATGTTTGCCTATATTCGGCGGAGACCGACCGGTCCTAAGAAAGAGGACCTTTTTTGGGGATAAATGGGCGAATGATTCTTCATAGCTGCTTTGAGCGCTGCAAAGTCACGAATTACACCCGTATAAAACCAAGTAACGAAGTAGTAATCATCATGATGCAAAAGTATGCGTTTGCAGTTTTTGTGTTGTTGGCAAACAACATGTTATTGTTCTTGTCGAGCATTGTTTGGTCAGTTTTGCCGCAGAGTCCACTGCACCAAGGTTTAGGAGAGCTGGTGATGAGGATCTCCTCTGGTCAGCATGGGCACCTAGCAGAGTCAGGGAGGGCAGGTGTGTGTGTGGGCTTTATCGATCATGGAGTTGGATACCTGAGAAGATGAGAAGCGCCATATTGCATCCCGTATGTACCCCCATAGAGTCCCAGTGACACGTAACTACCTCTCCTTGGAATGCCAATTATATAGTGTATAGTGTGTTTCAATCTAGCCCAACCAGTGAGGTCCAATCGCATGGAATGGCATACATTGCGCCGTTTCGCTTCGGTTCCGCAAGACTCGCGACAGGGTCCGGGGGTCCGGATCGGTCGGGATCGGTCGATGGGTCACTTAAGTGATGTCGACCGAGTTCCGGCAACGTCAAGGCTTTAGGACTTACCATGTGAAAAAACACCAGCAGGGTCAACTAAGTCAGTGAGCCTTGGACTTGGCCAGGGGTCGACGCAGGGTCTTGTTTAGACTTACCAGGCATAGCTTGGTCCAATGCATCGTTAATCCGGAACACATGGCCGTGACACACCAAGGTTGCAAATCATATCTTTCAACTAGTAACCAGTAACCACCGATATCGCATTCTGGAGCGACTTATCACTTTGCAGCTTCGTTGCCCATGCATCGGGGGTGTCCCAGGAAACCCTGTCACAGACCAGAACCTCAGTATTTTTAGAGATGGAAAGGCCTGTCTCAGGCCCCATGAAAATGGGTCAAATACTTCAAAATATATGGGCAAAACCAACAAAAAGGTTCCACAGCTTTCCCATCACAGACTGCTTCGGCCGCGGTCCCGGGGAACGCCGAATCCGGTCGGTCCCAATCCGGTCGACACCGACCAGCACCGCCGGTGGAAAGCCGTATCCCGACAAGCTCGTGAAGAAACATGGTCACCAAAGAATGTAAAGTAAGATATGCTATAAGTTGGATTAAGGGAATAGTTCCAACATTAGTTAATTATACTAAAGTTTGATTCAGCTGTCAGCTGGTGCACCAAAAAAGGAACACCTTCTCACCCCAAAACGCGGCACAGGTTCCAAGAACTGGGTGAGCACCTGCGCGACCAGCGCGGGCACTCGGGAGACCACCCATGCCGCCGATGTCGGCACCTGGTACACCTTGTGAAGGTGTGAAGATTCAACTTCTTGTAAGCCGGCTGAAAACATGTTCAACGGTCAGACCTTCAGAACATACGTTTGGATTCTGCAGATAGATTATTTGTTAACATGTTCCCCTATCCCTAGCGTGAGCCTATGAGTGAATCCCCGCTTCCTTCAGCCAAATAACGATTGTGTGATTTCCAAGTTCAGAAAAAGGTGATGGCTAGACCTGGCCAAGAATCGACATATCAATCAGACTGGACCACTCTAGTTCAGACTGCTGATCAATGCAAGTTATGTTTAAAGTCGAGAGGATTGATCGAGTCTAGTTCTATAGTCACCATTCCATGTACATCCCAGAATCGGTGAAGACGATCGGCTCGAGCTGGATCGATTCGAAGAAAAACTGGACCCATGCCGTGTTGGAACTACTTCCACATGCCGTCTTGCTTTTCTTATTGCGCCTGTTGTACCCATGTCAGCCATCATTGAGCCCTGAATAGTGGAACTTTTCTGTAACAAGCAAAGTGAAGTTATGCAAGCCCTCAAAGCGTGAGAACACGCGCACTGACTAGTGAGCCGAGTGGCAAAGCCTAGGGCCTCGCTTCCTGCTATGGCCACACACCAATCCAACTTTTAGCTGTGAAGCTGCACCAACCTGTCCCAGATGAACTTACAAGACGATCACCCAAGGCCCAAGGCCTGTGGAGATTCATACCAACGGCCATTCGACTGAGACGCCTCCAAGTTGTGCCCAGATCACCCAGATGACCATCCGTTGAGACTCTTTTTCTGACCATCAAGATCACACATTCACACATTTAGTCATTGAAATCGACAGCCAGCAACTCAGTCCCTGCTTCCAAGAAGAAGTGCTCGAATGAAACCCTGACAATCATATATATATATATGATGTCCTAAATTCACAAATAGACCCATATATGTCCTATATGACACACCCACCCATATTTCATTCACTTCCCACAGAAAACCGTCCTTTTTCCACGGCAACATGATGTGGTGAAACGGCGAAACGGCTCGCTGCTTCGCCGATGGGCCCCATTACGACCCACGTGCTGAACACTGCTGCGGGCGCGCCGGCGGTGGGGCTCCAGGTGCGACTGAGACGGTGTCTGAGACGGCAACATCAGCGGAAGAAAACGTATATAGAATGTATATGAATGTATATATTCCATTTGGACTATCCTATAGGTATTCCAGTAGGGTCCTAAAGGGTCACGGAAAAACCTCTGAAACTGCGGCTGAGACACTGTGACGACCTTTGGGAGGGGAGCGATTGCACTGACGAGGCATGCACGACTGGTACCCTCGCTTCCCCTTCTCTTCGGTGGCGGGTTCCCGAGCGATCAGAGGAGTTCCCCCACGAATGGGAGTTCCATGGTGCAGGTGTTCGATCCCAGACACGCCACGTCTGGGACTGCCAGGACGGGCTGCCTTCAAGTTCCGGCCGTTCGGGGTGGTGCCAGGAAGGTCCATGGGGCGGCAGTCCGGACTGGCAGTCCCAGGCGTGTCGTGTATGGAAATGGTGTTCAGCCATGTCAAACTCAGAGAACGGTCGAGATGATACGGAAGGTGAGCACATATATTGGGCATGTTGGGCTGCCAAGACTGAGTACAGGTAGAGCAATGTCATCCAACCCCATATCGTTCGTCATGTCGTGGTCCAATTGATCCCCAGGCACTTCCACGTGGAGCGGACGGCGTGATGTTCCCTCATTTGTCTCGACCCGGACTGGTCCGGCGAGACCAGTCCCACCGAAGCTGAGGAAGTGCGCAGAGACCGAAGGAGGGGACATTGAATGGGAGATGATCCAGGACGGAACGCGTAGGTATCAGGCTTCATCAGGCGTGAACGGGGCGGCGTGAAAGCCATTTTTGAAGGTATGCGGTCGGTTTGCTGGTGTTGATGCTCAACATGCTGGGTTTATGCGTGAAGAGTGAGATTAATGAACGTGGAGTTTAGTGCATCCGTGCTCTTCTCAGACAACGCAGTCTCCCTGTTGTTCTGTTTTTCTGCCGCTTCGGGCGCTCAGACAACGGCAGGAGTCATTGACTGACCAAGACGGGCGCCTCAAGGACTTGTCGGAGGGCACCTTGGCTGAAAACCTGGATGCTCAGGTGCATGCTTGAGGTCTTCAGATGTTCAATACGTACATTTGTTGTGTTCTTTTTTGGATTTGCCACTTAAGGATATGAATTTCAATACTCACGCCCTGGAGTCAAGACAAGCAGATATCCAAGACAAGCTTTGCCAAGCGCCATGGGCCCAAACGAAAGCAGATATCCAACGAGTGCCTAAAATAATGTCAATATCACCGTTGTCTCTTTGTTCTACATGCAGCATTTGTTCCCTTCAACAGACTTGTCATTTCAATTCATTTCATCACATAGCTCGCTCGGCTTTCCCCGTCTAGACTAAGTAAAGCCCCCTTCCGGGTGCAGACCGCATGCGCGCAGACCACCGCTTGCAGCAGCTGCGCAGACCACGTGAGGCGCGCTCGTTGAGTATCCACGACAGGTCTTCACTTGCAGATGGGAGAGGTCTACGAGCTGCGCTTTGACACCATGTCCTACTTCAAAAGCTCAGGCGTGTGTGCGTTGCAAACAGGGGACGTGGTGAACACACGGGACACGCCGCTGCAAAGTGGGGGGTACTTAGTGGCTGCATGGTCAGTGGCGTGGTGCATTGGAAGGGACTTTCAGATATCAATTTTCAGGACTTGCAGAATATGTTTGCAATAAGTTAAGAGCATTGCCACAGTGATTGATGAAGGCAAACGACTCTAACCGCAGTGATGCTTGAAGGAGCGAGTCCGTTCGCGCCGCTCGTCGCTCCGGGGACATTCGCTCGGTCTTTCGGGCGGGAACCGTTGCTCCAGGTGCTGAGTGCTTCTACCCTTTTGTGACGGTGGTCTTTATCATACACGACCCTTCGCGCTGCTGGCTGCAAGAGTTGTGTTGTCCAAGAGATGGTGACAGGTGTGCAATTATATATTATTTTATGCAAGTGTGCGGTCTCTAGCCCTCTGGAGTGTTTTAAGCTTCGCGGTCACCTTGTACAGATATATCAATACGAGATAGATGATGTACTGTGCGACTACGTACTGCAGGAATCACAGACGCGCTCTCGGCGCAGTCGTGTGAGTGTTGATGAAAGGATGCATCATCCTTGGAAAATGACGTCCATGCATGCATCCAGGTCCCAAGTCCAGCTTTGGAAATCTCCTTTGCATCGTTGTCTTCTCAGCTAGCACTGCATGGGAATGAACTCTGTTCATGGTGGCTTATGCCATCTTAAGTCAGATTGACAAAATGTGCGTTTCAAACCATTAGGTTTCTATGTCTCAAACAGCTGTCACCCGGAACATGAGGACTGTCACACTGAATCTTCCGATTCTTCCGCCTCCATACTTCTCCGGTGTTTTCGCTCTTCGCCCAGGTCCCACTACCACGTCCCTCTTCTGATCTCGCCCTACGGCTACTCCACCTACCGTGGCTCCTGATCTACAGCCTTTCCTCGCCTTTCCTCACGCCCAAAGCGACGTCGGACGTTCCAATCCGCCGCTTTCAGCGCCCAAACCGTTCTTCCACGCGCAGCGCTAGGAGTGAAGCGCCGCTGTAGAAGCGCCCAGAAGCGACACGTTCGGCACGTTCGGCCAGTGGAGTTCTTCAAAAGGGGGCGAAGGGGAGGGCGGACCGGTGAGCTTTGAGGACAGGGTGGACTTGATGTCGCGAATCAGAAAGGCTGCGTGTTGTCGCTTCTTGGGTGATTCTGGCTTGTTGTCCTACGTTTGGACTTCTCAACAAGACTCTCTTGGATCCCCTAATGACTTCAAAGGCCCTGCCCAGGGCTCATTTTTGGGGTGGGTGGCTCATGAACTGATTTCAACGGTCATACAGCACACCTCAGATTATAGGAATTTTGCAGGATTGAGGCCCTGGTCATCATGGGGCAGTGCCCAACTTCTACACTTATCAGTCCTAGAGATTAAAACAACTCCTGACCTACCTGAATGTTCATGTTTGTTTTAGGTGACGTGTCAAGTTCGTCAGTGTCGATGGCAGCTGACAGTTGAAGTCTGAGGAGCTTGCTCCTTTTAGATTCTTTTGGTCCCTTTTTGCCGTTGTGGCCCCAAAAAACATTTGCAATGGGCCTACTGACCCAATGACAGCTTGAGGACTGAGAGACTTCACTTATATTATAAATTAGTGAAGCTTCATTCAGTGAAATTACATGGAAATTACTGGGAAATCAGATGTCACCAGTGTTTTAGACATCTATATAATATAGGACTTGTCATATCATATATATATATATTGCGTTAATAGCTTCTTGTTACTACTAGTAAGGCACCTGTTACTACTAGTAAGGCACATGTTTCTAATAGCTTCTTAAGTCCTTGGCAACAAGGGGACGCCACTTCTCATCCCGTCCTTCGTCTTCCGCCACTTCTTCGGCCCGACCGGAGCAAGGCCTGGAGGTGCCGTCCTGGACGAAGCCGTGAAGCCCTTCACCGCTCGGCCGCAAGTGGAAGACCGGTGAACGTCTAAAAGGTGCTTGAAATAGTATAGATAAAGGAAGTTTAAATAAGCTAGATAGATAGTTTATGCATATTATATGTATAATATATATTATGCAAATATGTGATATCATTGTAAAAGATGTCGCAAGGTTTCTTCATTCATCCTCATGATTCATGTGTCCGGAACTTTGTGGTCAAAGTTCCAAGTATTGACGGTACCTTCATGATCGCAGCACGGATCATGTAGATTGGCGAAAAGAAGAACCATTCCCAGACACCCTGCATGTTGTAAATCTGTTCCTATGAACTATCATGAACTACATATTCTTGTTTTGGACCGCTCGCTTTCAATATCCGCTAACTAAGGAACAAACAGTCCTTTTGTCAGAAGTTCATGCGGGTAAGGAGCTGATACAACACCCGTGAGAGCCGCTTTCAAATCCCAAAGACGGAATAACCTTAATTTCTGGCCAACTCCGACAAAAACCACCACCACGTCCAAACTGCAAGTTTGGACGCAGCACCTATTTATAAGTCATCTTAGATGGAAAAAACATAAAGGGCCGCCCTCTACCACTCCTGTGACCAGACATTGGAAACATGAGTTGGAGGAGACCCCAAGCAACTCTTGTGACTACCACAAAAAAGGAGTTGCCTCCACCAACTCTTGTGACTCTACATGGATCCATGTGTTCCAAGGCTCGGATGTTGGTCGCAGACCCCAAGCAGCGGGGCACCATGCGGGAGGCGCCGGCGTTGCCTGGAACGGCCTGGAACGGACGGACAACGAGTTTTCCGATCGTCTATAAGGCCCATGGATCCACTGCCACCTTCTCAGCAGGTATGTGCGCTGTCAAACGCCATCAACACCTTCGGAAGCTGTGTGGATCCATGGGGAAAGTTGAACATGTTGCAAGGGGGGAGGTGATCTCCGAGCAGGAATTTGCTTATGGTGTTTTTTCATTTGGAGGGTCGGGGGGTTGTAGTGCTGTAAGCGTCAGCCAGAAAAGGTGGCACACACCTCTTAAGAATCCGAAGGGGCAATGTGATCGCACAGCAGTGACTCCAGTGGAATGTGATTTGGTCGAATCAGTTGATTGCTCGATGTTTCTTTTGAGAGCGGGTGTGCTTGGGAGAGCACACACTAGCTCAAAACCTTTAGAAAACACTGCAAATACCGTGCAACATTTCAAAAACTGCTCTGGGACCTAGGCGAAACCAACATTTGAGACAAAAAATCCAAATCTTATAGTACCCCCATTTTGTCTCAATGATGTTTTAGCCAAACATCACTGTAAAACACCGTTTTGATCACTTCTTGCACAAAAAACATCTCCCAGGAGCACTCGTGCTGTTTTTCCCGAAAGCATTGCGAAGGGTTCTTCCGGAAAATCCTTTGAACACTGACACTTCGACACTTACACTTCGACACTCACACTTACACACACACACACACACTGGAAGAGCGAAAGCATGCAAGCATGATATGCAAGGGTGGGCATGCAAGCATGCAATGACTATGCAAGCATGCAATGAGTAGGCAAGTGTGAGTATGCAATGAGTAGGCAAGTGTGAGTATGGAAAACTAGCACGGGAGATGTCCTAATGAAAAAACATTTCCCCACTTTATAAATTCTCTCTTAAAGGCGGAG